CTCCAGCCTCCACCCACAGTACCCCAGGACTTTTGCAAACCCAGCACTGCTGCACCCTGGACCCCTACATCATGCACCCCTGGACACCTGTGTCCTGCAACTCCCCCCACCCAGCACCTTTAACACCCTCTGCACCCCTGGCACACCTGCACAGCCTGCACCCCCAGTACCCCTGCAGCCTGCACCCCCAGTACCCCTGCAGCCTGCACTCAAATCATCCCTGCACCCAGCACCCCAGCACCTCTGCACCCAGCACCCACTGCACCTTGCACCCCTGATACCCCTGCACCCCCAGCACCTCTACACCCAACACCACCCCTGCACCCATCAACCCCTCAAGCCCATCAGCCCCCGTGCCCTTTTGCGCCCGGTGACCCCTGTAGCTGGCAGCCCGCACCAGACAGGTGTCTGACACCCTGCGCTGCCTGACACGTACCCTGCACCCTGGGACAGAGCACGGCAGGAGCCACTGCTGCCACTGGTGCCCTTTGGTCAGGGCTGGTGACAGTGGCCGTGCAGCAGTGCTAGGTGCCACCGAAGGATGATGTGGCAGCGTCACACAGGTGGTGGTGAAGGTGAGGTCTCAGCAGGGACCTCAGCTCCTGAGGCTCAGCCTAAGGGGTGAGGTGAGGGGGACCTCCAGCCACTGTGGTGTGAGGGGATCTCATGGGCACAAAGGGGACCTCACACATCTGCTGTTTTCTTTTCAGTCATGGGACAGTCACTGGCTTTGTGGATTTGGAGGCTGGGCTTTGACCTGGCACTTTGCCCTCGGGCCTCAGTTTCCCCAAGTGCTGCACGTGCTGTCATATTTTTACTTTTTGATTTCTCAAGACAAGACCTCTGCAGAGTCAGGAGCCCAGAGCAATGTCACAACAGCTGATGAGCAATTTTTCACCTGCAGAACGAGACACAGTCCAAAGGCCTCGAGGGACATTTCCATAAGGCTGCTGCGACACCAGCCCTCAGAGATCGGGTTGGGCCCTGCAGCCTCAGAACCCCCTAATTTTCTCCCAGCAAAGCTCTGTTGGGTTGCAGGGGGATGCTAAGCTGCTCCTGCTCTCTGGGGACTTGGGGCCATACTTCTGCTCCACTTTGCACACACGTTCACGCTCCCACGAGAGACGAAGATGCTGAATTCACTGCTGGTGCTGATCAAGACGAGTGTGTGCACACAGAGAATAGAGAAACAGAGCTGTGGTTGGGTCTGCCTCGCAGTGGGTGTCTGAGAGCCTGTGACAATTAATTAAAGAGTTTCCATCGTGTGCTGTAAGGCACTGGGAAGCTGCCTTTGTTTTCGGAGACAGAAACCATTTTGTTTTCAGCAAGGCTGCAGCCTGCTGAAGATCCCCGTGCTCTCAGAGGAAGGCCTAAGGAAGCAGCAAGATGGTTGCATTCTGCAATTACTCCATTGCAGCTCCTCCTCATACCAGTGAAAAAATCCCTCCCCCAATTCTTGTGTGTAATTTCAGCCTGAAGATGGTTTGTTGGTTGTTTTTTTTAACAGATTCCAGCCCTGGGAATGTCCCTGCACCAGTTTGGGACTTCCCACCCAAACTGCCTGTGGCACTGCAGTGATTAGCAGAGATTGCCTCCTGACAGCGTGGTGCTACTGCCCACCCTGTGCTCAAACAAAGCACAGCCTTGCAGCAGGGAGGGGAGCTGGGTGAGAAAATGCACCTTTTCATGTACCAGCCTCCCTCTGCCCATCTCCATTTCCCCTATCCCCAGCAGGTGAAGGGTCTCACCCCAGCCCTGGCAGGTTTGGGGGTGTCTGGCTGCTTCCACTGGTTTGAACCGGGGATCCCAACTCCTGCTCCTTGTGGAGGAGCCGTGACAGCATGAGCTGGATCTGGTCCCCACAGCTGCATCTTTGCAGTGTTGTCCTCCATTGGGTCACCCCGTGGTCTCCATGCCAGGAGTACGGACTGGGCAGAGCATCTTGTGCAAGAGCCAGCGCCCCTCCAGAACCTCTCCAGACAAGAGCATATTTGAAATTCCTGAAAGGTTTTGGTGTTCTTGCTCAACCAAGTTCCTTAGAGAAACAGAACTGTCAGGGCTGTGACCCATGTGGGATAATGGATGGGTTCTTCTCCGTGTTCCCCATCTCATGGTTTAACCACTGAGTTTCTGAAGGCCAGCACAAGCAGATGTCAGTGCTGCACCCCACAGTGTCCCTGGTGCTTCCAGCCACCAGCTCAACCCATCCCTCTGGTGCTGTGTGAAGTGCAGCTGAGTGGATCTCATCCTTTGTGGGGTCCCACCTGCTGCTGGTGCTCTCACAGGGCCTCTGTGAGCTCCTGGGTCCCCAGTGCTGCCCTTGAAAGGTCAAAGCACACCTTGAAATTTCTCCTTTCTGGATGATGGCTTGCTCATTGATTACTTGGATGCTGTCTTTATGGACAGCGTGAAACAGTTTCCCAGGACACAGCCAGACCACATCAAAGACCCTGCTTCACCCTGACATCAGGTGAGCCCTGGGCTGGGGTTTTGCAATAACGCAGGCAATAGCTCGGCATGGCCCCAGGAGTGCTTGGGAAATAAATACAGGGAGGATGGAGAGATGCTCAGATAGTGCAGTGGCAATGGCCTGATAAGTCTCTTGAACAGATAGAGCTGGTAGAAATTGAGATTGAAAGACAGGAAAACTGCTTAACTGATCATAATCTGCATCAGAGAGCTGAACTGCAAAACTGCCAGCACTCAATGAGGAATCTGAGCAGTCCCAGCACTGCTCTTTCATGCCTTGAGGGGAGACCCTCAACACAGCTCTTGCTGCAAGGCTTCCCCAGCAACTCTCCACTTGGTAATAAACCAAAAGCATGAGAAAAATGGTACACATCCTGCTGTCCAGGGAGTGTGGGGAAAGACCATGCCTTGTGCAGTTTGCAGGCTCTTCAAGTTCCCCTGTCTGGTGGCAGTGTGGGGAGGAAAGACTTGGAAAAGGGGATGCCCTGGGCCAGCCAAATGAAGTCTGATTCACGACCTCAAAAACTTCCATTGGTGGCTTCAGAGACACCACTAAAAGCAACATTAACTGAGAAAGCCAAGTCCTGAGCCATGCTTTGACCTTCATGGGGCTTGTGGAGGCTCTGCTGGAGACAGAAGCCCCGCAGAGCCAAGGTCCCCCCAGCGGTGCCCAGCAGGGCAGGCTGTGGTACAGGGCAGGGTTGACATGGAAGCCAGCACAGGGAGGTTGCTGGGTCAATCCAGACACCGTAGAGGAAGGACATTACTTCGTGTTTGAGGGTTTTCCTGCTGCAGGGCCAGGCCCACTCTTTGATCCACTCTCTTGGACATTTCTCCAAAAGGATTTGCTCCTTGCAGTGAGCAGATGCTTCAACATGGCCTTACCATGCTACTGGAAGCGCCTGGCAAGCACTCTGGAGAGTCTGCCAACACATTGAGAACCACTAATAGGGACTCCAAGGGCTCAGCAATTACCTGATAGTTTCTGTAATACTGGGTATTTTTGCACAGTGGGACATACATGGTCTGCCTCTGGTTTGCTATTTGTGCCCAGCGAGATTAGGGAGAAGAGGCTGACTTTGGCTCACTACGTGTCCCTGCTTCACCTGCTCAATTACTGCTTTTAGAGAGAGAAAGTGGGAAGGGGACAGGAGGGGAACAGTGGGGATGGGATACTGGGGGGGGCTGACACAGGCCTGAGGACCTCCCCTCCTGGAGTGATGGACTGATGACCCATCAGGACACCTGCAGGGGGAAGGATGAAACTCCTCTTTTTATTCAGTCGTTTCTCCTCCCAAGAACACCACAGAGCCTGGACAATGGGACTTGCCCTTGTGAAACCCTTGGGCAGCCATTCAGCTGCATTCTGGGGACCCTCAGAGCGGTGGAGAGGGGGTCCATGCACACAACCCTGATCTGGGGATGCTCCAGAGGCTGAAGCAAGCTCAGACTCTCTCAGTAAGAGGACCGACCCTTTTTCCCCTGGATCTCACCCAGATTGGGGCTTGCGGGCATGGGCAACCCCCAGTGCCTTGTCAGTGCCCAACAGGGTGTGCAGCACCCATCAGCTGCAGGCAGCTTGGAATAGCTTTGAAATATTGTACAGAATATTTCCATCTCCGTGCTTTGTGCCAAAAATGTTTCTCCCTCTTTTTCTTTTATTTCCCCCTGAATTTGTCAGTGGGAAAAAAAAAACCAACCAACCCAACAAAACCCATATATTATTTTGTTCTGATTTCAGCAAAAAAACGCCCCCACCCTCTGCAACAAAAGGCAATTGGGAACGCGTTGCTTGGAAAACTGCAGACGCATTTAGGGATCTCCATGGAGGTGTTGGCCAAAGGTGGAGAGGAAAGCAATCCCCATAACGAAGGCTGTGCACCTTTTGTACTAAATCATCAAGGTGAAGAGCATCGTGACGCGTGATCGGAGCAAGCCCAGCCCTGCACACAGCTCAGCCACTGCCCACAGATGATAAGAAATGAGGAGAGAGGCTCTTTATTGGCAAGGTAATGGCACCAGCTCCACATCTAACGGGGTGAACATTTTCTGAGGCAAACCATACTCCCGGCGCTCACCCAGCTTCAGCTCCTCTTCACAGCTTGCTCTTCTGCTTGAGGATAAAACGTTCCACGTTTCGAAAGCCAAAGCTTCTTTCCAGGGGTGAAATCTGCCTCGAGCCAGCAGCAATGGCCACTTCGAGCACCCGCTGCATCCCCCAGGTGAGCCCACCAGGCCCAGCTCATCCCCAGGGTCGCAAGGGTCCCCATGGGTTTGTTCCGCTGTGCTCACCCAGGGGTGCCCGCACTGCTGCTCAGGCTCGGTGGCAGCAGGAGTGGTTTTGGTGGAGGTGTCCCCGCAACTGGGGCAGGGGAGGTGGGAGCCTGGGGGGAGCCCTGTGCTAGTGGCCCCCCGCCTCCAGCAGCTGGGAAGCGTAAAGAGCGAGTGTGTGATGGAGGAACTGGTACTGCTCGCTCGTCTGGATCATCCCGCCCCTGCAAGGAAAGGCAGGGCCTGCTGACGCCTTGCCCACAGCCCCAGCTGCAGCAACCCGCTCCTGGGGCACAGATCATAGGATCACAGAATGCGTTGGGTTGGAAGGGACCTTTACAGCTCCTCCAGTCCAACCCTGCAGTCAGCAGGGACATCTTGAACCACATCAGGTTGCTCACAGCCCCAGCAAGCGTGGCCTTGAACATCTCCAGGGATGGGGCCTGCACCACCTCTGGGCAACCTGTGCATTGATCGACCACCTCATGGGGAAGAGCTTTTTCCTCATATCCAACCTAAATCTGCCCTTTTCCAGTTTAAAACCATTCCCCCTCGTCCTATTGCTCCATGCGCCAGTGAACAGCTCTTCCTCAGCTTTCTTACAGGCACCAGGGACCTGAGTCCTGTAAGGTGCTCTAAGGTCCCCCTGGAGCCTTCTCTTCTCCAGACTGAACAACCCCAACTCTCTCAGCTGTCCCCATAGCAGAGCTGCTCCTCTGCTCCTCAGCATCTCCATGGCCTCCTCTGGACCTGCTCCAGCACTTCAATGTCCTTTTTGTGCTGGGGACTCCAAAGTCCAAAATATTCCTGCTTCACCCAGGTACACCTGGAACAGGTGTCGGAGCTGCCCAAAGAGTATTTGGCTCAGAAGCACTGCTGGGCTGTTCAAATGCAGATTACCAATTGATTTGGCTCTAATTTCTATCAGCAATTCTGCTTGAAAAGTGGTGAAGTTGAGTGTTTCTTAATTCAGTGGCTGAGCTGGAAGGAGCAGAACAGCTGCCAGGTTCAGAGTCACTCTCCTCTCCCTCACATGCTCAGGTCCCCAAAGTTAGGGTAGCCCTGACAGCGAAACCAGCGTGGCACTGAGCAATCATTTGCTCCCACCACATCCGCATCTTTCGGCAACTCTTCTGCCATCAAAAATTGTCACTGTTCCCCCTGGTGATGCTCATCTCTATGTGCCACCAGCAGGGCCCTCCCAGGAGCCCCCGAGCACCCACCTGTCGATGCGGAGGCGGCACACGATTCCCAAGATATCCACCTCCCCCTTCTCCTTCAGCTGCTGGCACCCGATCCTGGTGGCGATAAAGCAGCCGGTCCGGCCAATGCCTGCACTACGGGACAGACACAGCTGTGCTGAGCATCCACTGCCTGAACCTTGCTCTGCCTGAGCTGGACATACTCCCAGCCTGGTTTGCTGCCATGATTTCTTCCTATGGGGATGCTGGGGTCCCAGTCCCAGCTGCCAGAATGCCTTTCCCAGCCAGACACCAAAAGATGTGGCTGGCATCATTCTGCCATGACAAGGGGATCTGGCCATGTTGCAGAGCTGAGACCGCTCTGGAAGCACATCCCCAGTCTGCGCCCCCTGTGCCTGCGCAGTGCAGGGGTCTCTGCAGCCCCTTGCCTGCCCCTCCAGCTCTGCTCTTCTCCCAGGCACTGTTTGTCCCCTGCAGCACCGCACCCGAGTGCATTGGATAAGGACGACCGGGTGCTCTGCTCTGCTGTCCCCACATTCACTCAGCAGTGAGAGGAAATACACAGGGGCCACCTCCTCCAGGAGGGCTGCCCTGAGGAAGAGCTTCACAGCCAAGCCGCAGGCCATGCTCAGTGCAAGGGAGACAGCGACCTGAGCCAGGGATCTGCTGTGGGTCTGGTGGTCCTGAGCCTGCAGAGCTCTCCTGCTCCCACCTTGCTGTGTGCAAACCCAGGTGCAAACCAGATTCCCTGATGGAGCTGTGTGCCCCATGCTAATGCCACCATCCCAGTGCCAGGAAAGGAGCTGCTGGCTGAATTACTCTGCTGTGGGGATGCCGTGTATTCAGGACCAGCTCATGAGAGGTTTCCCCCTCTGGCACTCGCAGGCTGACCCCAAGGTGAGGGACACGCAGGGGTTCAGGTGAAGGGAGAGCTCTTACCTGCAGTGCACCACGATGGGCCCTGGGCTGGCTGCAGCCTGCAGAGTCTCCTCCACCTTGGACACCAAGTGCAGCAGGGGCTTGGCTGACTCGGGTGTCTGCTGGTCCAGCCAGGAAGGGAAGAGGATGTGTTTGACCTGGCGGCGCTCACCTTCAAGCTTTTCCAGCACGGAAGAAAGAGAAATCAGGATGTGGGAGCACAGACTCACCGGGCTGGGCCTTGACCAGCACCCAGGAGAGACCCCTGGGCCAGGAACACTGGGAAATGTCCCATCTTAGAAGATGGTAAGCGATACAAAGTGTCCCAGAGCTGTCCCCACAGTGCACGCAAAGCCAGCAGGATCCTTTTGGCTAGTGTTAGCCCAGGGTGACTACCATGGCACAGTGCAAACAGCAAAGGGCTAATAGAGAAGCTCTGCCCCCTTTCCTCTGCCCTCCAGGGCTGGGTCCTGCTCCCTTTCAGCCGCCTCAGGCAGGCAGGAGCTCTGCAGACCCCTCCTCTGGCAGCAGCTCCTAAGTCCCAGCTCTCTGAGCCATGAACCCTCTGCTCTCCCATCACGCAGTGTTGACATCCCCCCAGAGAGCCCCAGGGCAAGGAGGCATTGCCCAGCTTCCCCTCTGACCCCAGCATGGAGCTCAAACCCACCTGGATGCAGAGGTCCCGGACCACATACTCCACACCCTCGCTCACCCCCTGCACGCAGACGGTGAAGGGGCCGTAGGTGCCCTCCTTCTCAGGCCAGTAGTGGACGCACTTCTGAAAGAAGCAGGCAGGGTCTGTGGTGGTGGAGATGCTCAAGGCTCACACTGGGTGTCTGAGCTCTGCTGTGCTCAGTGCTCCTGGGAAGGGGCATCACGCAGGGAGGGTGGATGTGGAGTGACACGGAGCACAGGCGAAGGATGGGAGAGATCCCTCTCCCCACATCTGCTCCCCACGCACCCTTCCCTATGCCCTGCCTCATGGCTGTCAGATCTGGGGCTGCACAGCTCTCCCAGCCCCACAGAAGCTGCGCCTGGGTCAGTCCATGTCCTACCAGACTCAGAACAATCCAGGGATGCTGTGCCAGCCAGGGAGGGAAGGGAGCCTAAGAGAGCTGCTGGGGGTGGAGGGATGCTGCTGACCACTGCCTCTGCTCCCTCTCACAGGGCCTGCCCTAATCTCTTTATCCCGTTATGCAGCTGGGAAAGCGTGAGCACGAGAGGCCGCGTGAGGAGGAGAGGCTTTGCCAGATGGGGCCAAGGCGTCAGCCCTGGGACTCTCCTCCTGTAATCAGGGTACCCTCTGAGAGTGAAGCAGAGGAAGCAAGCGGGTGCTCAGACCCCACGTTTGGTCTCATGTAGCCCCTTACTGCTGTTATTACCACACCCCACCCTTTGCTCCTGGCTGGGTGCTGTCCCCAGCCCAGGGAAGGGACAACGGTACCTCTTTGCGCTCCTGGAGCTTGGTTATCATGACGATGAGGGGAGCCTCCTCCTGCCACACCATCTCCCAGAAGTCGGTCACGGTGTTCAGCATGGGTCCTTGGGTGGCAATGTACTCCCGAGGATGCCCCGCGTAACCCTGCCGAGCACACAGTCCATCAGTGACACCGGGGAACCCTGACGTGTGAGGGGACGCTGCCTCCAGGCCACCCCAGCTCTCACGGCGCTCATCTTCCTCTGCAGGTGAGAGGCTGAGCCACGCTGGATACTTCCTACTAAATACCCCTCTGAGGGGAAGGATCTCATTAATGCTTATAAATATCACAAATATGGGGGTCAGGAGGATGGGACCAGGCTCTTCTCAGTTGTGCCCAGCAACAAAACAAGGGGCAATGGCCACAAACTGGAGGTTCAACATGAAGAAAAGCTTTTTCACTGAGAGGGTGGCAGAGCATGGCCCAGGCTGCCCAAAGAGGTTGTCTCTCTGGAGACATCCAAACTCCTGGCCATGTTCCTGTGTGACTGCTCTGCTCCTGCTCTGGGGTGTTGCACTGCGGGATCTCCAGAGGGCCCTGCCAACCCCAACCATGCTGTGATTCTATGAAACTTCCCTGGAAAGCTTTTATAGACCTGGTTTCTCCATCCTCCCAGTCCCACAGACCAGAAGCAAGCCCATGGAGCAAGCCACAGGCACCCAAGGTCCATCCCCAGGTCACTGGTGTGATGACAGCAGTCGTGATGGGTGCCTTGAAGAGGCAGAGCTTGTGAAGTGAGGGCCCTTCTCACCTGAGGCATTTCCCCAGGGACAAGAAGAAGTCACCAAGCTCTGCTCTGGCTGGGAGCTGGGACAGACCCAGATGGGTCCTACCAGTCCAGGTGCAGGAGAAGGGGACATGGTAGTGCCCAGACACCTGGAGGGGACAGCAGGCCCCTGCCCCGCCTCTGCCCCAGGCTCTGTTTCACAGCACCAAGCATCCTCTGCCTCCACGGTCACCTCATCCCTGGTATAAAATTGCCAAAGAAATAGAAAAGCTTGGAGATGCTCTGGGTCCTGCCCAGCTCCTGTGCCACACCACGGGCAGTGCTGCTGTCCCAGTGGACAGGAGAGGTGCAGCAGCTGGGGGCAGGCACAGGCAGAGGAGCGGGACAGCCTTCAATGCGGTACTGCAGCTCCCCGCTGGAGATGCCCTTTGGTGATACAGAACAGAGCCAGGGACCTGGCTGAAGGGGTGCAGGGGGCAACCACAGCTTTTGGAAAAGGACACAGAGCCGCATGGCTTTGTCAAAGCAGACATCAGTTAAAAGTACACCCAAACCCCTGTGATTTAATCCAGGTCTTTTCAGCAATCCTGTTAACAGCCTGGTCCCACTGGAAGCTGCACTGGCCCAGACAAGAGGCAGGAGCATTTTCAGGAACATTTTGTATATGTGATAAAACACCTGCAGAGCCCCTCCAGACTTGCTGTGCCCCCAGGCACGCCAGAAGCAGGCTGAGTTTCCAATTTGCTGATGTACCCACAAATTCCTGCACTGTGACACCCCTAGGGAGGAAAGCAGAAGGAAGGGGGTAGGAAATAGCAGCCTCACACAGGGACGTGTGGGCACACGTGTGCTTAGGGGTGTGCACGTACATGTGCACATGTGTGCAAGATAGGCATGGGCAGCGTCTGTGCATGTTTGTTAGTGCTCATGTAGCAGAGGGGATGCCATGTACTCATGTACACCCCGATGCACGTTGACAGGGTGGTGGTGTCACCTCATGTGGAGCTGCACGCTGCCAGGCTGCTTCAAAAGACTCCTCTCAAACCCTCATTTGGGCCAGCAACCCCCCAGCCTTTTTAGAGACAGTGCTCCTGTGTCCAAATCAGTCTCTGACCCTCTCTGGGGGATGCTGGCAGCTCACACCGCTGCTGTCCTGTGGGCTCACACCCACGAGCACCACTGGAAAAGCAACACCCTCCAGGTCCAACCCGTGCCCCCAGAGCACCTTGAGGGTCCATCGCACCCAAGGGCACTTTGTGGGGCACTTTTCCCATGCTCTCCTCCCTGCCACGCACCCAGAGCAGCTGCAGACCCACCTCTGCTTCCCAGCACCCAAGGGGCAGAATGCTGAGACGAGATGTTCAGAAAAAAGCAAAGCTGGCACCCGGCTGACACAAGAGCCTGTTTTAAGGTGGGATATGGTTCAGCACCATGAGGCCGCAGCCTGGCAGGGGTCAGGAGGATGATTGTCATAAACTGAGCCGCCTGATCCCCTTGGGTCTGGGGAATTCTCAGCCTCTGGAAGGGGATCCCATCGGCTGCCACGTCTGCCCCTTTCTTGGGAAAACGCAACAAACCCCTTGAGCAGAGAGGAAATTCCTGGAAGGGTAGGGGTTGAGCAGCACCGGGCTGCGAAGCTGTGTTGACACAGACAGAGCATCTCCTGTGCCAGACCACGGACTGGTGCATGAGGGAGAGATGGAGAAGCCACTGCGAGGGAAGCCCGTATGGGTGCTCAACTCACCCAAGCAGTGGGAGCTGAGAGCAGCCATCCCAGACTGTCCCACCAAAAATTACAGTGTGCCTGCCCTGTGTGGATGGAGCCACATCTCCCCAGCTCAGAAAGGGGAGGCGAGTTCAGATCGTTACCCCTGGGCAGCCACAGGACAGTGGGTGACAGTGCCCCAGAGGCGGGTCCCAGTGTGGCACCGGCAGCACCGAGCAGTTTGCAATGTCCCCTCTGCAGCCGGGCAGGACACTCACCGTGATGTAGTTGGCATTGATGTAGCTGTCCTCCTCCTGGTTCCCTGCCCTCCTGAGACAGACCCGACTCTCAGGATCTGGAAGAGATGGCAGACGTTACTCCAGGACAGAGCCTGACCCTGCCCATGCTCCCTGCTCGGCTCCAGAGTCCTCCCAGCTCTGTGCCATGCTCAGAGCACCTTCCCTTGGTCCCTTCTTGCCCCACTTCATCCCCACTGCCATGGTGGGGTACGGTCAGCTGTGCCCAAACCTGCCTGTACCGCAGTCAGCATGCAGGGTAAGCCCAGGGCCTTCCCATAGAGCCCAAACGAGTCCTCCCATAATGGTCTCAGCCTTTATACTCTCAGTGACATGCCCCTGGGACATGTAGAGCCCCGTGGTGGCAGGGAGCAACTCAGGCTGGGCTGTCATGAGCTGCACACCCTGAGAATACACCCCAAGGATGAGCCCCCCACCTACCACACCACCACACAGTGTACACCCCCTGCAACACAGCACCCGGCTCCCGCAGCATGGGGAGCAGGAACAAGCACAGCAGGAACACCAAAAGCACCCAGAATTGTCCCCTCTCCCGTGCACACACACCCATGCACACACCCATGCTTGCACACACACCCCTCCCTATGTGGGGCACCTGGGAAGGCAAAGGGATGCAGTGCCACATACTGGGAAGGATGGTTTTGTATCTGTCCTTGGAGGCATGGCCAGGGATCCCCACCTCCTCTGGACTGACAAAGTTGGGTGGGATTTTCTGCAGGGGTGAGAGAACAACAGTGAGGAAAGTCCCATTGCTGCTGCTCGTGTCCCCTGGTGGTGGCAGAGCTGGTCTCCAGTCACAGCCTGGCCCAGGGACCCTGCAGCATCACCAGAGGTGTCAGCCCTGGGATGAGCCCTGTCCTTATCCCAGATGTGGTGAGACTCCGCTCCAGAGAGGACCCCGTGGAGAAGAGCTTGGCAGGGGAGGACAAGGACCAGGTATCCAGGGACGCAGAGGGAAAATGGATGCACCAGGGAGCGGGTGACCAGGGAACACCCAGGGCACCCTTCACCCATCTGTCCCCATTGCCTGCCCTGCCACCAGCGCTGTGGGCTGGGAGATGTCCACCCCTGCGGGTCCCCCCCACTGCCAACCCCTGTGGGCCGCCCCCACCGCCAACCCCTGCCATCCCTCGTGAGAGGAGGGAGAGGAGAGGGGAGCGTCGCACCGAAAACTCCTCCTGGAGCAGTGTCAGGCTCTGGGCACGCTGCTGGAGCTCCTCTCTCCTCAGCACATGGCTGGACGTCCTCAGGAACTGCAGTGTGATGTCTCGAGGGGTACAGACGGGCTGGATGGGCTCCACGCTCCCCAGCGAGCTCATGTCCAGCACCAGCGACACATTGGACCCCCTCCTGTCGGCATATGGGTCCCTGGCTGCCCCCATCTTGGGACAGGAAGGCGGCCCATCCTGCCACACTGTCATTAAAGCCACCCCACACTGAACAAAAGCCAGGCAGAGAATAACACTGGAGGAAGGAAGGGGCCAGATGGAGACCCCAGAAGATGGAGCAGGGGGGTGAGGAACAAGGAATGAACTGGTCATTTGGCCTTTTGCTGGAAAGCCCCCAAATTGTGGGTTTGGCTGGGCTGGGGGCGGTCAGGGCTGCCTCCATGCTCAGACCTGGTGTCTGCAGTAGCGGGCAGGCAGGGCTGGGGGTGAGCAGTGCCCTGGGTACCCATTTGGGATTGGGGCTGCAGGCACCGTCCGGCCACGCTCACCTCTCCTGAAGGCGCACGTGCTTCTTGGCAGAGGGACTGGGCTTGTCCGTCCTGTCCATGGCTGCCCGGGCTGTCAGGCTGCCGTTACGGAGTCTGGAGCACACCAAGCAGGCTTGTACCATGCTGTGGACGCCACAGAGCCCTCGTCCTGAGACACGGGGAGTAGACACGGGTGGCCCTCAGCTCCTGGGGGGTCAAGGAGCCATTGGAGGAGAAGCAGCTGGAAAAGACAAGGCAGAGCTGAGAGATGCCATGGGGCTGGGTGGGTCCCCTGGCAGCTGGCCCCAAAGCAAGGGGCAGGTTTTGGGTTCTCAGCTGCCCTAGAATCAGGGTATCCAGCCCCTGAACCCAGCCAGGTGGCACAGGGAGGACTCCCACCATGTTCACCCTCCGTGAACTGCAGACACTCAGGCACCCACTGGTGACCCTGATGGCACCAACGGCCGCCCGCTTGCACCGAGCAGAGGACACCCATGCTCTGTGTTGCCAGAGCATGGTCTGGTTTTGGGAAAGGCCAAAATGCTCTCCACCTTCATGAGAAGCACAGGCTGCTGTGTGTTTCCAGCCCTTCCCCACCATGGAGGCACGATGGGGAGGAGGGCGAGCTGGGACCGCACAAGCACAGCAGCATCCTGAGTGAGGTGGCTGTAGACACCACAGGGACCTGGCCAGCTCCTGCTGCTGGGAGACATGGGGCCAGGAACCCTCAACAGCCTCATGGCTCTGCCGAGGGAGAGATGACCCTGGGACAGCGTCCTCCATCCCACAGGTCTCAGCAACTGTCAAGAGGAAACTGCTTTTTCTGGGTGGTTGAGCAAGAGGTGATGGGGTGGCCCAGCTGGAGGGTGCAAGGACTGCACTGCCACCAGCCCCAGGACAGCCCCTGGCAGGGATGGGGAGATAGAGGTGATGCTGGTTCACCCCTGGGCAGAGCTCCTCATGGTGCAGGTGGCGCCGTGGAACCATGAAGCTCCTTCTCATCCCCAGCTCCCTCCATGAGGAGCAGATGGACCCAAAGGGCCAGGAGATGCTGTGGAGCCGGAGCTTTCAGTGGGCAAAGAGTTGGTGCTGCATCAGCTCAGGGAGGTCCTGCAGAGAACTGGGTCCATGCTGTGATCCAGTTCGGGAGCACTGCTGTGGCAGGAGCCGTTCCCCTTGACTCCCTGCTGCCTGGTGGCTTTTCTAGGGGTGGCAATGCTACTGCTGCCATGAGGACAAACCCCATGCCCCATGCAGGGTGCCCTGCATGCAGCTGCAGGGGGGCCATGCTGCCAGGGTGTCCCCTGGCCAGGCTGCTCCCCAGGAGCACCAGGGGATCCTGGCTAGAGGCAGGAGCAGGCTCCACCACAGCAGCCATCCCTCACACCCTGACCAGGAAACACCTGGGGGATGCCCCAGCCCAGCCCGAGCTCCAGCCACCAGCACCTGCAGGGAGGTGTCCCTGTCACCCTGCCCAGCATCCCAGCCCTGCCGGGGCTGCCCAGCAGTGAGCTCACCCATGAGGGTGCCCTCTGCAGCGGGCAGCAGGGGCGGGCTGGGGGCTGCCTACCTGCTGCCCCGCGACGGGGGCTCCGTCGGTCCTGGCACAGGCCCGCTGGCACCGCGCGTGTCGGTCTGACAGCACGGTTTGAAAGTGTTCAGGAAGCTGCTTATCAAAGGAGCTGCTGCCTCTGCCGCTTCCTCTCCCTCCTTCTCCCCCACCCTGCCTGCCGCCCCCACACATACCGGCCACATCGCTCT